CTATTATTCAATGTGAAAGACTCAAACTTTACTAATTATATTTAAAAAAAAAAAAAAAGACAAATTATCGCCAAATAATCCCTACTAACTCCTTCAAAATGTTAACAGTAACTTTTGTTTGAAAGTTAGGGAGATGAAAATACATTTCCAAATTTTTCCAAAGATATAGCTAAATGACAAGATAAAAACTTCACTATGGGCCAGATGCGGTGGCTCACGCCTGTAATCCTAGCACTTTGGGAGGCCGAGGCAGGCAGATCACTTGAGGCCAGCAGTTTGTGACCAGCCTGGAAAACACGGTGAAACCCTGTTTCTACTAAAAATACAAAAATTAGCCTGGCATGATGGCGCACGTTTGTAATCCCAGCTACTTGGGACATTAAGGCAGAAGCATCGTTTGAACCCAGGAGTTAGAGGGTGCAGCCAGCCGGCATCACACCACTGCACTCCAGCCTGAACGACTCTTATCTCCAAAAAAAAAAAAAACAAAAACAAAAAAAAACCCTAACGATTGTACCTTAAGGTTTTTGCTTTTGGTTACTTTAAACAAAAAATTATATGTTTATAGACAGATCACAGACTATATAACAGTAACTAATTTCACAAAAAAACCTTTTAATTATACTCTCATATAACCTCTCTTAAATTTACAATACACATTATTTCCTTTAATAAATCTTAAAGGATAAACTCTCTAACTCTTTATACACGTTATGTTAAAGTCTTTTTTTTTTTTTTTTTTTTGAGACGGAGTCTCGCTCTGTCCCCCTGGCTGGAGTGCAGTGGCGTGATCTTGGCTCACTGCAAGCTCCGCCTCCCGGGATCACGCCATTCTCCTGCCTCAGCCTCCTGAGTAGCAGGGACTACAGGTGCCCACCACCACGCCCAGCTAATTTTTTGTATTTTTAGTAGAGACGGGGTTTCACCGTGGTCCCGATCTCTTGACCTTGTGATCCGCCTGCCTTGGCCTCCCAAAGTGCTGAGATTACAGGCGTGAGCCACCGCGCCTGGCCAGCAAGTCTTATTTTAACTAATAAGGTTTTTGGGAGTAAAAACTCTCACAATCCCCGATTTCTCATTTTTTATAGTATACCTGAAAGTCCTTTCATACATTACTTCCGAACGAGCATTTTTCAATGAAATCCAAGATGCTAAGAAATCTAGTAATTACTGAAAAATGCTGTGATGCCAGTAAAGCCTAATCCTAAAGAAAACAAACACTTTACAAGTTCCACATTTGTTTAACTTGCTTTGTAAAATACAAGTTACAAATCGTAGCATATAGGCTATTATTAGTAAAGAATATCATTAAATCTTCAAATAAAAAAGTAAGAAATTTGTAGTTCAATGAATATAGTAAGTAACCTGCTGTAACCTTAAGTTTTTTACATGCTTAGAGCTTAGATAATCCAACTCACTTGCATTTGATTTTTGCTAATGGTCTTGAACTTATATACATTAATTCTTTTTTCTTTTTTTAAAAAAGAGACGGGTCTCACTCTATCAACCCAGGCGAGAGTGTGGTGGCACAACCACAGCTCACTGTTAACCTCAAACTCCTGGGCTCAAGCAATTATCCCACATCAGCCTCCCAAGGAACTGGGATTACAGGCACTAGGACTACATGCAGGCATCACCGCACCCAGCCAATTAAAATTTTTTTTTTTTTTTTTTTTTTTAGTAGAGACAGGGTCTTGCTATGTTGCCAAGGCTAGTCTCAAACTCCTGGCTTCAAAGGACCCTCCCATCTCAACCTCCCAAGCAACCAGGATTACAGAGATGAAGCAGTGCCTGGCTGCTTTTTTTTTTTTTTCTTCTTAAGACAGGGTCTCAATCGGTCTCCCACGCTGCAGTGCAGTGACACAATCTCAGCTCACTGCAACCTCCACCTCCTGGGTTCAAGTGATTCTCCTGCCCTAGTAGCTGAGATTACAGGCACTCATCACTGTGCCCAGCTAATTTTTATATCTGTAGTAGAGACAGGGTTTCACCATGTTGGCCAGGCTGGTCTCAAAACCTGACCTCAGGTGATCTGCCTGTCTCAGCCTCCCAAAGTGCTGAGATTACAGGCGTGAGCCACTGAACCCACCTGAATTCATTTTTGGATAAAAATCCAAAGAAGTTTATAATGCCTGCAATAAAAATCATGCATATACACTTTTAACAAGTTAGTGCCAAACACATCATTAGCAATAAAAGAAAAAATAAAACACCAAAAATCAAATTATGACTAAATATCTCAGTATTAAATAAGGAAAAATCACCATTTTACATTTTTTAAAGATAGTATTAATATCAAATATTTACTCTCAATTCCAGAATGGAGATATATCTCATATTATTATTCCCATATAATATAAAGGAATATGGCAGCCAGGTCTGTTAGAGATGGCAGAGCCAGGAATGGAACTGCAGTATTAGCTGGAAGACTCCAGAAGACAACAAGCAGCTAAAAAGAAAATCAGAAAGTGGGGCCTAACTTAGCAAGTGATTAGATCAGAAAAACATCAAGTTTCTTGCAAATGAAGCTGAAGAAACATCAGGAAAGATGCAAATTTTTAAAAACGAAAAGTTAACAAGTACCTGGAGTTCACATAGGCAGAAAAATGAAAAAAACAAAGTGAAGAAAAAATAGGTACAGAAAAAGTAAGTGGCTAAAACACCACTAGCTCTTAAGAGTCAAAGTATTTAAGAATAGCTTCAAGGCCAGGATCACATCTTGATTCCCAGGAGTATCACACAAATGTTGGCACACAGTAAATGCCCCACATTTGCTGAATGAATAAGCAAGAGAATGTTCCTGGGATTACTTCACCTGTAAAAGAATTGGCTGAGCAAGGTTGGCTGGAAATGATTGAAAGCATTTATAAAGTAAGTTTCTTTGAATGAAAAACTGACTTCTTGCATTTGGGAATATACTGGATCACAGTCACTAAAATAAGAGCCAACCTGGAAGATGAGGTGTCATATTTTGTTACAATCACCAAATTTTTCAAAATAAAGTACAGTATAGTACAACCAATACCTCCTCTCCAAGAGCTAACATTTGAAATGAAATCTGCTATAGAAGAGTGGTTGGTAGACAGTACCATCTCGGGTTTTATATAACACTATGGAAAACATACCCACAAAACTGGTAACTCTAAAAGTTTAATTTTGCACCCCAATAACTTGTAACACTTTAATAATCAAATACACCTGCTACTACTGTTACAGACAAAAACGTGGTTTATCTGCATAAATAGCACTAAGCTATAACTACATTCAATAGAGAACTACTTTCTTCTCATCCGAATTATTCAAACCCAGTGCAATCTTCTGACCAGTATTAATTTTCTCAAACCACTAATTATGTAGAGGAAGCCAATGTTTCTCAATATATGATCACAATGAATAAAGCTGATTGCTATCATAGGAGGACAAAAGGGACCAGAAGATGCAAGTTATTTTTTTAAAGTAAGCAAAATATTGACGAATTAGTTGCCAATAGGGGCAAAAAGTCACATAATACTTTACTCAGTTTTCTTGGAAGCTTTTAATATTGTAAATCTACTTAAGATATATTATCTACGTGAGCAACATGTTACAGTAGGAAAGAATATAGATGTCTTTACTAAAATTGCTTTGTTCCTTAATGCATGCTTTTGACATGAAATGTAATTCTAGCAAATTTAGGGCAAATTAACTCTGAAAATAGTTACTGAGAATTGGTTTTGTTTACTTATTCTCAGCCTCCTACAACAAAGAGCTTGAGGCAAACTTATAATTGAAGACAGATGACTGTGCAAAAGAAATCAGACTAACTTTTAAAAAGAGTATTTCAATGAACCAGGTATCAAAATCACATCAGCGAAACTGGAGAATACTGAAAAAATGTTTACAACAAAAAGCAAGAATGTATCCTCTAAGTAATGAATAATTTTTTAAATCTAGGAACTATCCTGAAAAAACATACTGAGTTTTTAAATTCATAATTTATCATCCTAATTAGAAAACAGATTTGAACACCTTAAAAAGTAACAAACTGGGGCCGGGCGCGGTGGCTCAAGCCTGTAATCCCAGCACTTTGGGAGGCCGAGACGGGTGGATCACGAGGTCAGGAGATAGAGACCATCCTGGCTAACACGGTGAAACCCCATCTCTACTAAAAAATACAAAAAACTAGCCGGGCGAGGTGGCGGGCGCCTGTAGTCCCAGCTACTCAGGAGGCGGAGGCCGGAGAATGGCGTAAACCCGGGAGGTGGAGCTTGCAGTGAGCTGAGATCCGGCCACTGCACCCCAGCCTGGGCCACAGAGCAAGACTCCGTCTCAAAAAAAAAAAAAAAAGAAAAGGTAACAAACTGAAGCAACAACAAGGATCTCGAAATAAACTTAAATCTTTGTAAGTCCAAAGTTCCTTTCTTGGAAAAACGTCCCGCATTTTCCCATCCTTAACAAAGTATGTTTTAAACTATATTCATAAATGCATTCCCTTGTTACCAGACACTAAAGTCCACTTTTTTTTGTAATGGAGTCTCACTCTGTCACCCAGGCTGCAGTACAGTGGCACCATCTCAGGCTCACTGCAACCTCCACCAATCAGGTTCAAGTGATTCCCCTGCCTCAGCCTCCTGAGTAGCTGGGACTATAGGCGCCTGCCACCACCACCATGCCCAACTAACTTTTGTTTCTAATAAGAGACAGGTTTTCACCTGTTGGCCAGGCTGGTCTCGAACTCCTGACCTCAAGTAATCTGCCTACCTTGGCCTCCCAAGTGCTGAGATTATAGGCGTGAGCCACTGCACCCGGCCTTAGAGTCCACTTTTTAGATGCTCACATCAGCATCTTATTTCTACAGTAACTTGTTCGGAGTAAAAAAAAAAAAATTGATAGGATTAAAATATTTTAATGACATAACCGAAAAGTAACTTTTTCAAGCTAGAAATACTCTGCCGCCTATTGTTTTATATAGAGCTATTGTTAAACATATATGTCAAAGTTTCAACAAGAAAGATACTCACCACCATCCCTCTCTCTAACTCTGTGAGTATGAACATTTTTGGCCTTACTGTGACCTGTGCTGTCACTGTATTTGTTTTCAGGACTATCAGATCTCCGCAACATTTTATTTGGTGGTGAAGGATCTGCGGCGTCTCGCATCTTTTCATGTCTGTGATCACCGCTACTGGGGTGACTCTTCGATGAATACTTAAGTGCCTGTAAAACATCACCCCCCCAAAAAAAGAGAGAAATAATTGAAACCTTAAACTCCCTACACTAATTTAAACATAAATTTTGGTGTATTATTACCAAATTTTATGAACTTACAAAATTAAAATTTCCACTTTCTGCTTTACTCTTTAAAGTTTCTCAGACAAAAAACCTAATGCTTGTTACAATAAGACTCCTGCTACAAATCATACTAAACATTTAAAAAGAAAAAAAAAACTCCATTATCTTATAAATAAATCAAACCACCTTGGCACACTGATTCTGAAAAAAAAGAAAACAAATTTGGCTAGGAATATTTAAAACCATTTTTTGACAGTCAAAAGAAAGCTAGAAATTCAGTACTACTATAATCAATTTCTGCTGTACAGCTGATATACACAAGCACATGTATAAATAAGCACATGCATATTTTTGCAAACCTACAAAAAAAAAAAAAAATCCACACACTGGTTTCTCCAATTCTTTGATTCAAATAAGGCATTTCAGACCTAACTTCCTTACTCTCACAGGTGTGGGAAACAATTTTAAGGTATAAAAATATTGACCAAAATAAACTAATGTGAGTACTATTTCAAACCAAGTATAATGCACTCAAAATAATCGTTTAGCTTTATTCTAACACATATCTTAGGACAACCATGATGTACTAGTCTGTTGCAATGTGTAATTAGCTATGCTTTGGAGGACAGATTCACTAAGGTTTAATTTTTGACATATCCAATGTTTTACACATCAGAGGACGGTGTTTTCAAATTCAGCTGTATAACACAACTATCAGGTAGAAACCTGTTCTCTGGGCCTTTAAGATGTAGAAAGTGTTTCTGTAGTTATTTGATGGTTAACAATCATTTATGAGGTTTGCCTCCTGAAAACTGGGGCCACTTCTAGCATAATCCTTAGAACTTTACAAGCAACGACTGCAGTAACAAAAAGGAACCCACCTACCTAGAACCACCTACATCAGAATGATTATCCAAGTACCCAAAAACCTCAATTCTTACAGAAACAAAAGTACCATCTTTTACTTATAACGCAATTAAGTATACCAAAAATATTAAAAAGGAAAAGAGGACAGTACTCTATAACCGACTTAAAAGTTTTAAGTCATTTAGCTATTTATCCCAAGTCCTTCACTTAATTTTAGTATCTTTACATTAACTTTCAGTTCCCCCCACACAATAAATAAATAAATAAGCCTCGGAAGTCACCTATCATCTCATCCCATCGATTCCTTCACCCGCAAATAATCCAGTCAGGTCTTTCTGGCTGCAAATGATTCTTTTTTCCTAAATCAGCGAACTCCCTCCAGTCACCTGTCAAAATAAGTCACTAAACCTTGCTGGAGAGCACTAATGGAACCAAACCTCGAATTTTAAGGGGACCCGCGGTGCTAGTTTCGGATGTGTTGCACCGAAGGGCCTGTATCGACTTCTGAGGCCTGCGCTCGAGTAGCAGTCCCTCCCTTCCCCCTTCGGCCCCTTCCAATCCCTCCACCCCGGCCTCGGCTGGTACCTGGTAAGGCTGCGAGTCCCCCCTCCGGTCGTGACAGCTGAAAAACAGGAAGAGAAGACAGCGACATAAGACACGGCGGGGGTGGGGGGTCCGGGGAAGAAGAAAACGGGTCCCCCGCCGCCCCTCCCCGCGGGAGACCTACCCAGCGCCCCGGCGCCGAGCCCCGCGCGCACACGGCGCAAACCCGGAGCCTCCGGGAGGGCCGGGGAGGGCGAAACGCCGCAAAGCCGGGCCCCCACTCCCCGCCACACTCCGTTCCCGCCCGCCCGCCCGCGCGGCCGCTCCTCCTCCCCAACCCAATCCGGATCAGGGTTAACAACAAAAATGGCGGCCGGGCCAGCTCCAGATAAGGAGGAACAGCCCCCCCGCCGTCGCCCCCCGCCGCCGCCCGGACCGAAACGAAAAGACAATTTACCCATCACTGAGTCTCTGCTGTTTCCTCGCATACATTACCATCAATGCCCGGCCTGTGAGTGTGTGTCGGGGAGGGGGGAGAGCGGCCGCAAGAGGCGGGCGGGCGCGCAGGCGGCGGCGGCGGCGGGCGGCGGGCAGCCCCGGCACCTGGGCCCGGCGCGCCCTAGGCGACTCTCAGCACCTCCCAGTTACTGGCGCCGGCGCTCCCGGGCCATCTCCCTCCGTCGACACCACGCTCACTCTCAGCCGGGGCAGCGGCGCCAACTACACGGCGGCAGCGCGAACCGGGGGGAGGGGGGCAAGACGACGCGTCCGGCTCAGCCCCGCGGAGAGCGACTGTCTCCTCCGCCTTCTCCTCCTCCTGCTCCGCCGCCTCCTTCCCTCCTCCCCCCGCCGCCGCCGCCGCCGCTGCTGCCGCCGCCTGGTCCTTCTCCTCCTCCTCCTCCCGCCGCCGCCGCCGCCGCTGGTGCCGCCGCTGCCGCTCCACCAACTACATCCGGGCAACTCGGACGCTGCCGCCTTCGGGAAACCTCGGCAGTTTCCGCCGCGCCCCTCCTCTCCTACCCTCGGCCTTCCTCCCCGCCCCGCGCGGGTCCGGAACGCCGCCCTCTGCAAACCTCGGCTGGCTCCGGCCTCTGTCCTCCTCTGAGGCCTGGCTCTCCTCCTCGCGACCCGTCAGCGCTTTCCTTCTTTTCCTCACTCGCGAGTCCGGCCACCGCCGTTCCTCTTTAGGGATAGTCTCGCTCGGGCGCCTGCTCGAGGCTGATCCCAGGGGCTCCGGGCTGCGCGGGGAGGGAGCCGCCTTCCGGAAGAGGACGGTGGGGCGCGAGGGAAGCCATCGCGGACTAAATAAGGGAGGCTGCGGCGGCTGCGCGTGCGCCCAGAGGCGCCGCGGGAGGGGGTGTTCTGCGAGCTCTCCGGCCGCTGCCCCCGCCCCTGCGCTCTTGGGCGGGGAGGTCGGAAACCCCCTGGCGAGACCACGGGCGGACGCTTCCCGAAGAGCTGCCTGGGCTGCAGCCGCGGAAGCCTCGCTCTAGGAAGCGGGGAGCGTGCTGCGGCGCCCTCTGGCCGCTGCTGGAAGCCGGAACCTAGCCCGAGCCGCTGCCCCTCACCGGACGCTGCGCGCGCCACCGGCCCTCCGCGGGCCAGGGGCTGCTTTGAGCTCGCCGGGCGCCCTTTGGCCGTAAGTCTCACCCTGGCCCCGAGGCGGGAAGGAGTGCGTGCTGTCCCGGCCAGAAACGGCTAAAAGGAAGGGCTGAGGGGTTCTGTGCCCAAGGCGGAAAGCCGTGCGCCAGGGCGGCCCTCAGCGGAGATGCCTGCACGGATCCGGGAGCGCCGCTCGGGGCAGGGAATGAAAGGGGCGCTTGAGACTGGAGATTTAGGGAGATGAGTTCCTTGGGAACAGCGCTGAACCGTTTCTCTGTCCCACCCTACCCCCCGCTTATTTTTTTGAGGCAGGCTCTCGCGCTGTGGTCCAGGCTGAGCGCAGTGACGCGATCACGGCACATTGCAGCCTCGACCTCGGGGGCTCAAGGGATCCTTCCACCTCAGCCTTCTGAGTAGCTGGGACCACGGGGATGCACCACCACGCCCGGCTAATTTTTTTTAAAAAGTGTTTCCGGAGATAGCGTCTCGCTGTATTACCCAGGCTGGTCTCGAACCCTTGTCCTGAAGCGATCCTCACGCCTCGGCCTCCCAAAGTGCTGGGATTACAGGCGTGAGCCACAGCGCTCGGCTTTTTACCCCTTTCTAACGTTTTCCATGCCCATCGGTGCCCTGCCCCACCCTCTCTTGATCTCTAACTTTTTCCTCTGTTTTTTCCTCGCTGAAGTCTGTTGGCTAAAGAAAATTCATGTGCAAGTTCTGGATGTGAATAAAGTCCTGAGGTGTGTTAAGTGAAACTGCTACAAATTTGATTTTATGGACTGCTGCAGGCACATTGAGAGGAGAAACGTCAAGTATACCAAACAACCGTTAGTTGAGAGTGGTGGTATTCGGGTGATTGGTTGACTTTTTTTTTGCACTAAACTCTTTGTAAGGCAACATTAGTTGAATGAAAAGAATTGTGATAAACATAAACGTGATTAACACAGAAGAGGCAAATACTAAACAAGTCAGAAGAAACAAGACCCTCTCCAAATAAACAGTAATAAAAAGTAACTGATTTATTTGGTATCCAAGAAGTTACAATACTGCTAGACCTAATAGAATGAAGAGATGGAATGATGTAGGGAGAAAGGCTCTGAAATCACAACTGGTTGGAAAAAAACTTTAATTGTATAATCTTATTTGTCACATCCACCTGCCAGATGTAAAGCTTATTGCTGTTTGTGGAGATGTGCAGACCAATAAAAAGCCTATTTAATGAAAGTATCAGTAACTAAAAAAAAAAAAATTGCCAGTGACTGAAATGATGAAAACAAAAAAAATTCGGTAGCGTCTTAACATGCAATTTCTGACACATTTGTAGTGAATCCATTGAAGACAAACATCAGGAGTACAACAAATAACAAATATTACATAGAAACTTTTTGAAAACTGGTAGCAAAATTACTACTAATTTGTTTGATAACTAGATGTCTGCTGAAATCGGTATAAACCATTTGCTCAAAAGTAGCCAGGGATGGTGATACCTGCCTGTATTCCTGGCTACTCCAGAGGCTGAGGCTGAACAATCGCTTTAGTGCAGGAGTTCGAGACTGCAGTGAGTCATGATCACACCAGTGCACTCGGCCTGGACGACAGAGGGAGACCCTGTCTCAAAAAATAGCCCGGATGTGGTGGCTCATGCCTGTAATCCCAGCACCTTGGGAGGCAGAGTCGGGTGGATCATTTTGAGGTCTGGAGTTTGAGACTACCCTGGCCAACACAGTGAAACCCCATCTCTACTGAAAATATAAAAGTTAGCCATGTGTGGTGGTGTGCGCCTGTAATCCCAGTTATTCAGGAGGCTGAAGCAGGAGAATCGCTTGAGCCTAGGAGGCGGAGGTTGTGGTGAACCAAGATCTCGCCACTGCACTCCAGTCTAGGTGACAGAGTAAGACTCTGTCTTTAAATAAAATCACATTACCAAAAGTCTGATCTGCTCTCCTTTACAGAAATACTTTATCTTCACTTCTACTCTTGAACCCACAGACTTCATTCCCACACTCCTGAACCTGTTCAAGATCATCTGTGGCGTCCATGTTTTCAAGCCTGATTTTTATTTCTCAGTCTTCATCTCACTTGTCAGCAGTATTTGACACAGCTGATAACTTTCTTCTCCCTAAAGTTCCTTATCTTACCTACCAGGATTTCATTTTCTTTCTTGCTTCTCTTCCTTCCCAAATGGCTGTTCCTTAGACTTCTTACCGGTTTCTCCTTCTTTACCAGCCTCTAAATGCTGGAGTGGCCCAAGATTCAAATGCCACAACCTGCACTCCTCTGTTCTCTCTCCCTAGGCAATCTCATTCAGATCTCTGGCTGGATGAAACCCACATTTGAATCTCCAGTCCACACCTTTCCTCTGAACACAAGGCCAACACTTAAGTGCCTACTGTATAGCACTGCTTGAGTTTCTAACAGGCATCACCAACTTAATGTATTCAAAACCAAACTCTTAATCTCCCCCACCCCAAACAAGTCCTGCTGAGATCTTCCCAATCTCTTGAAGTGACAGCTCCATTCTTCGAGTGAAGGCTAAAAACTTTGGAATCATCTTTGTTTCTTTTATATCTCACATTGACTCTATCAACAAATTTTGCCAACATTATCTTCAAAATGTATCCACAATCTGATCTCTGTAACCCACCTCCACCACATTCACTCTGGTCCAAGCCACCATCATTACATCTGGACCGTGGCAAAGACTTTCTAACTGATCTTCCCCTTCTCTGCCTGCTTCCACATTGTTTGCTATCTCATACAGTGCAGTAATCCCTTAAAAAGTCAGACAGTATCATTCCAATCTTAATAAAAGCCAAAGTTCTAGCCATGATCCACTAGCCATATGTAAACTGCCTCATGTAAACTGCCTCTGGCCTCTTATCACTGACTACTTGCTCTTTTTTTTTTTTGAGACTGATTCTCACTCTGTTGCCAGGCTGGAGTGCAGTGGCATGATCTTGGCTCACTGCAACCTCTGCCTCCCAGGTTCAAGCAATTATCCTGCCGCAGCCTCCTGAGTAGCTGGGACTACAGGCGCTTGCCACCACACCCAGCTAATTTTTGTATTTTTAGTAGAGACAGGGTTTCACCATGTTGGCCAGGATGGTCTCCGTCTCTTGACCTCGTGATCCACCCACCTCAGCCTCCCAAAATGCTGGGATTTACAGGCGTGAGCCAGCAAGCCCAGCCCTACTTTCTCCTTTTCCCACCATTCTACCCTCCCTCCCTGTTTCTCCAATATACCAAGCATGCCTCTGCCTCAGGACCTTTGCACTGCTGTCCCTTTGCCTGCAATCCTCTTCCCCCTTAGTACCTGCTTGGCTCACACGCTCACTTCTTCAGGTCTTTGTTTAAGTCTTGTCTTGTTTAATTCAGAACTCTATGTGATGGCACCTTACCACCACGTTGCTCCCTTAACCCTGATCTATTTTTCTTAGACCATTTGCAATATATTTTGTTTATTAGTTGTTTCCTACTAGAATGAATGCTTCATGTGACATACCATAAATATTTGTTGAATGAAAGGATATTTGCCTGCAGAAACATATACAACAAAGATAGCAAAATTGAATTCTCAAGGGGAAAAAGCATAGGTTCTATTTCTGTTTGCTTTGCAAAAGAATAAAAGAATTATAAATCCAGTCCTGTTCTCATAAATAAGATGGAGAATAAAGCTATATTATTCCTAATACAGGCAAATATTGTAATAGATAATATTTAAAAATATACATGAATTTGCATGTATAGCAAATCTTAAACCAGATTATTTACACTGCTATCTAATGATAGCAATGAGTTTGCAAATGAGTGAAAGTTTGCAAATGAGTAAAAGACCCGTATTTCAACTGTAGATTGAACACATACCAACCCATAGAGGGGAGAAACTGTCAACTCATAGGTTATATGTAGGTTGAGCAAGATTTTAACGTGATTCTGTTGAAGGAAGAACCGAAGAGTGAAATCCTCAAGCCTCTAGTTGTGAAAGGGACTTTTTTTTTTTTTGAGACAGAGTCTGACTCTGTCACCAGGCTGGAGTGCAGTGGCGCGATCTCGGCTCACTATAACCTCCGCCTCCCAGGTTCAAGCTATTCTCCTGCCTCAGCCTCCTGGGTAGTTGGCACTACGGGCACATGCCACCACACCCAGCTAATTTTTGTATTTTTAGTAGATGGGATTTCACCATGTTGGCCAGGATGGTCTCGATGTCCTGACCTCATGATCCATCCACCTCAGCCTCCCAAACTGCTGGGATTACAGGCATGAACCACCGCGCCTGGCCAAAAGGGACTTTTAAAAGCTTTGCTGCGATTTCTAAAACATCATAAAATAAGGATGTATTCCCTAAAATTTTCACGTACTTCATTTCTATCTGTTTTTTCTCTGTCCTTGCCTTCCTCACAAACTCAGCCTACTATAGTGATTAAAGGCATGGATTTTAGAATCAGTATGACATTACATAGAGCTCTGGCTACATTATTGAGTAGCAACGTCACCTTGGGCAAATTACTAGTCTTGAGGATTATCCTGCTTTGTCTCTAAACTTGGCTTAATAGGACGTAGTGCTTTTTGTGAAAAGTAATCGAAATTGTGTAAATAATTTAGCAGTACCTGGCACGTACATGTTTTACTAATGGTGGTTATTCATTTTTTGAAAATAGTATTGAAGTTCTGTGTGTCAAGTCTTAGGAACATAGTGTTAAGCAAAGTCACTTGGATTTTGCTCTTATGGAGTTTATATTTTAATTAAGTATAATACATAACTAAAAGGAGATACTTTGGGGTCTCAGATTTGTGATATGAAGCTTTCATTCAATTATGAGGAAAAATAAGAAATTGCAACAGAAATTACTGTCTAGGAAAGGGGAGTAAAAACCTCCAGGACGTCACCATATCAACATATGGTGTACCCTTCTAGGCAGGGATGATGTAAATGATGCAATCAACACATCTTGGGAGAATTACTTACTGACTCAAGATTGGCCATTTTTTAAAGTTCTACCAGGTAATAGATACTAAATTTCAGCTAATATTGAGAAG